TCCGCGGCATGTGGGATCTTCCCGGACCGGGGCACGAACCCGTGTCCCCTGCATCGGCAGGCGGACTCTCAACCACTGCGCCACCAGGGAAGCCCTACATTATTCTTTAATGGTAGCTGATCTTCATATTGAAAACCAAAAGGCACTGTGCAAGATTCTGACTTAGTGTTTCAACCAAATTTGAGAGACTTTAAAAGTTATCCAATACATATTCCCTTGTGTTTTTTTTACCTGAGGAAATGAATACCCAGGATGGTTAAGTAACTTGATCAAGACCACTCAGCCTTCAGATGAAGAGAACCTGATCTTTTGATTCCCAGTCCAGAATTTTTTATCTTTCACTTCACATCCTAGAGAAAGAATAAATTATGTTGTTTAACTTTAGGATTAAGTCTGTTTAATTATATTTCAGTATTTTGTAAGTCATGATCTTTGACAAGTATATGTGACCTGAGCAGAAAGTCAGGGAACTCTAAAAAGCCTGCACTACGGCCATGTAAGCCTCAACATGGGAAAGAAGCAATGCTTTTTAAACAGAATAGAAATGCCTTGCTGGTTTAAGTGCTGGCTGGTAGAAGGTGCCCAGCTGTCCTGTGTGTGGATTCAGCTCTCCTTATTGTTTCTTTCTAGGTTTGTAGGCACTAGCTTTCCTAATGGTAAAAAATAGAGATCTGACACAATACAGGACTTGTGTACTCTTTTTGGCCTCATGGCTTTCCTTATCATAGCCTTCCATTGATCTGAATGGGCAGAATAAGAGAAAGATTCAGGCCTAGGAAAAAATCAAGACAATAATAAACTCTCTGCTAGATACTGAGACGCTCCAGGCTTCTTCCAGAGAAATACCTTTTATTCCTCCATATTCTTCAAGCCCAGTTATTAACCAAAACAAAGAATCTCAGTGGGCATGGAATATGAAAATGGTTAAGTTTAAAACTAAGAATCTTGATATTTTTTTTAAATTCATACTTTAAAACTCATCGAACTTTTTAGTCAGGTTGGTGATACTCTAATTTGTAATACTGTACGATATCACCAAGATCACAGTAGTGTATATATTCTATATTTTTATATGTAAATGTTAGTTCAAGTATTTTTTTGCTTACATCATTGAGTCATCAAGTATAATCCAAAGATATGTCAGAAGCTTTATTTTGGTACAAATTCTTAAGAATCAAAACTTTTTAAAAAACATTTGCATTGAGAATCACCAATAATTGTGACACTTTTATGTCAAATCTGTTATGTTGAACCTTTAGTCACGGTAGAATGCGGAAGAAGTTATAGGAAAAGTAATTGTCATTGAAACTAATGTTATATAATCTTGAATCTAAGAGTAAATTAAGTGTTTTTTAATGTATAACTTGGTATAATATGACTTGAAAACTATTATTTAATAAAAAGCACTATTAGGTTTTTGTCAGCTGTCTTCAGATAGTATTTCTAGTCTATGTGTGATATTTTATTTTTATACTTTCGCCTTTGTTTATTTTCCTTATGGAATTTATCACATTTAATGAAATTTCAAATAGCTGATAATAGTAATATATAAATTTTAAACTCAATGAACAAATGATGAGTACATTATCAACCAGGCTTCCTTAAGCAATGAGTGCTGACTCGACATACAGTACTCAATTCACTAAATTATCAGTACTTTAAATACAACAGGAAAGTTGAAATGCAGAAAGGAAGAGGGGCTAAGAAGGGAGAGAGCAGTTTTAATTCTTAACAAGAAATACTATTTAGATGTTTAAACGCACTCTTACTTAAGGATTTTTAATTATGTGTTTTATTTGCAAAAAATCAAGCAGTATTTTTCCTCTGAAAATTTAGTTTTAATGAGTCATAACATTTTCTAAGATTCTTGGAGAAGATATTTTGATTAAACCAGCTGTTGATTTTACTTTGGGACCTGGAAAAATGAGAGTGATTGCACCTGTCAAATTTTGTATCCAGTATCTTTGGTCCATTACATTATAGCTTAAATGACTTCAGGATTTCATCTGCCACCGCAGTAAAGCACCCTCTTCTCTGAAAGCTAATCAGGTGCCTACGAGCCTTTTCTACTAGTGGAGTGGGGGAGAAAAAGGAAAGCTTTATTCACCTCTCCTCTGATGACCTTAGAGCTAAGTCAGTCATCACTGTTCCCTTACAGCCAAAAGGGTTTCACCAGTTTCAGGGTCAACTTGTCAAAACAGTGGCTTTCAGACCTTTTTTATTTTTTATCAGAGTATTTTCTTGTCCCCCCCATGGCCAGATTTCTCCACAACTGAAGTAAGACCTAGTTTTTTCTTAGTTAAAGACAAATTTGTATGGTGTTACCAAATGAAAAGAAGCACTGTGTTAGCAAGTGCTACATTATATTTTAATTCTGTCCTCTCTGGATTCTCCTCTATTAAAACAATTTCTGCCTTTTGCCTATGTGATGCAATTAACATTTTTGTAAGCATTCTATGCAACGTGCATGTTGTAAATGTCCTAACGTGGGGTGATTTCATTCACTGTTTTCATAGTAGTTACAGAAAAGCTAACTGTAAAGTACTATACAAATATTAATTGGGATATTAACTGACGTCCTACATTATTAGTGCCATGTCCAGCTGTGGACATGCTTACTGTAGCTTCCCCGTGGCATCTTCTGGGACTGACATGCCAGAGATGGCAGTACAGCAGCTTAGTACTGCATTTGTTTACTGAAAGTATGTACCCACTCCTTTCTTCATTTGAAAGGGAGAGGATACATAATAGAGCTAATGGAAATAACAAATAAAATTATGTAAGTGATACCAGTGGCTCAGTGAATATGTTCTGTTGAGAAAATGGTAAAAATATAGACCATTGATACTATAAAATGAGTTTTTAAAAAATGAGTCTTAATATTTTTGGCTCAACTAGCTCCGCTTCATAAGAAAATTTGAGAGACTTTGATCTAAAAGTCATAACAAGATACTTCTTAACACTAAATGGCTGACTGTAATAGTTAACACTTTGGCAGTATGATTAACTATAATTAATCTTATTTATGCCACTAGTGCTCACTAGGCTAAACACCTTTCTGAAAGTGGTTGGTTTTGACCTAGGGGATAAGAAAACGTGCTTTAGAAATGCTGTTTATTGCCCTATGATAAAATGAAGTGACAAATCACTCTCATCCTTAAAATTTTATATCAAGGTTACCTAGTTCTTATGTATACACATACACACACTCCAGTAGTCTGTGGAGTTAGATACTAATACTAATTTGCCATTTAAATTGGATCCAGGAAGGTGATGTGTTGAAAGATTACTCTGAAGATTATTCCATTAGTTTTCTTGATGAGAAATAGGAAAATATGTGTTTATACCGTGAATAAATTAAGCTATGGATTTTGGTTTTTCAAAATGATGTTTGTTTGAAGGAAAACTAAATATCAGTGCACTTGAGTTAATTCTTTCTCTTTTAACTTATTTTTCTTTATAATATGAAAAAATGTCTTAAAGTACTGTAACTTCTGAATTTTCAATAAAATATTATTTTGCTTGCAAATACCTTTTTAAATAAATTTTTCTTTTATAAGTTTAAATGACATTGACAAATGTCATAAGCTGGAAAGGGCACTAGTATATTCTCATAATAACATTTTAATAAGTCTTTGTGGTTAATTCCTTGTCATGTGATCCTCAATCTTGGAAGCTGATATTATGCACCTCTGGGATTTAAGAGCAGAAGTTGACTAAAAATGAAAGACCGTACTCAAAACCATGACCAGAACTTCCTTCAGAGTGAATGCAGGGAGGGCAGTCTGCAGATGCTGCATCCATGAGGTCGTTTACCACTCTCTTAAGGTCAAGAATATGTACCAGTCCCACTAATACATTTTGCTTGCATTATGCCAACCCCAAATCAGAGACCATAAAGGTATTTTGCATCAATAATTCTGCTCTTTGAACTTAATTAAAGGACATACTATAGTTCATCAGAAGAGAAAGACCCTATACCTAAAGGTGCATTGGCAACATTATGTTTAATAGTGAAAAACTGAAAACAGCCTAAATGTTCAACAATAAGGAAACCATAAATTCTGATATCTTAGCCTAGCATACAATGGGGATCATGTTAATTATACTAATGTTATATTGAAGATTAGTAATTTGATAAAGAATAAATACATACAATTAATTTTTAACTACAGCTGTGTAAAAATATGCTTTTGGACCAAGAAAGGAGGATCGGCAGAAAGTGGAACCATAGTGCTAGGAGAAAGAGATGGGTTTTACTGTTTCTAAGTGAGTAGTTAAAGGAAGGCTGTGAGAGAAAAAGAAGATTTTGAGAGAGGAACAAGGAGTTTATAAAGCTTTAGTAGTAGTAGTACATGTTCTTGTCAAGCAACAGAAGGAACATAAAGACCAAAAAAACAAAAACAAAAAAACCAGCCAAACAAAAAAATACAGAGTGGGGATAGGGCTGGGTACATAACATACAGGTATAAATGCAATGAAATACCCTGTGGAATACTTGCTGGAGGAG